CTTGACTAAGGAAGTCCCCAGTTATAAAGAAAGAAGCCATACTGCCCACTCTCAGCTCACAACTTGGAGCCTGGGTGACGATGTACAGTGAGCAGGGATGTCCCAGGGAAGCCCAGATGTGCTCAGTGCAAGAACAAGTCCTACCAGAAAAGTGGACACCATGTGGACTCCAGTCCTCTCACCCTGTACCAGAGCTTCACCTCAGTATGCCCAGCTAGACCTGGGCTTTAACCCCCAACACAGGTAAGCAATACCACACTCCATGACGTTCCAGAACCCAAATACTCCATGTCTCAAGAAACAGTGCAATGTGTTACTGGGGAGAGATGCAACCCAAAGCTCAGCATCTGCCCATGAGGCCACCAGAATTGCAGGGCAGTCAGGAAGAACAGGGCACAACCACCATCTGTACCTGCCTTGGGCAAGGACAGACCCTACTTCTGAGGGCAGGTAGGACAAAGCCTTCCCCAAGTCCACAGATGAACACCTACTTCTCAATGGCTCTGTACAATGTACAGAGACTAGAGTGAAGGAACTCAGGGTGAGGGACCAGTCACATGCTGTCTCTAGGTTGGAGGGCCCGATCTCAAGTTGCTCTCTGGACCAGGAACATGGCAGGTGAGATCTTGATTGAGTGAGTGGCTGAGTCTCCATGGAAAATTATGGACAGTGTTGTCTTTCAGATGGGACTTAGCAAAAACCAAAAAAACCAAAGAGTAAGCACATGCAGAGTCTTTCACCCCCAGAAAGCCTCTCTGCCCACCAGTTTTCTACATCCCTCTTCTATATATCTCACCATACAGAAGAAAGACCAGCCAAGAGAGAGAGAAGACATCTGCTTTTGGAAAACCATGCCTGGAGTGTAGGACCTAAAGCTACTGGCCCACACTGGACAGGGCTCTCACCAAGAGGGGCCTGGCTGCACCAGAGCAGCAGTCTCTTCTATTCTATCCACTCTCAAAAGTATGGGCAGATCAAAAGTCCTCAAACATTGCTACTTCCCTCAGAATAAAGCCCATACTCCCTTGCCAAGGCATACAAGGTATTTCCAATCTGGCCCTTGCCTACCTCATGCTCTGTGTTCCTCACAGAGCACTATGCACTATTCCTTCTACCTACAGCATGTTTCTCAACAAAGTGAGAACCTGAAATCTTCTAATTCATCCTTCCAGATTTAGCATCATCACCTCTTCTATGAAGGTTTCCCCAAACTCTCAGGTACAGGAGGAAGCCCAACCTCTGGGCCACTCCTGGGTATAGCGTACACTATAGAATGGACTTTTCTACACCACCCCATGAGGTCATGTGCATAGGCATATCTGCCTCCTCTCTGGATGGGCCTCATGCCTGTGCTCATGGGTCCCAGCCTGGGACTAAGACTAAACAATGGGTGCCTCATTGTGGTGTACAGAATTAATGATGAATGCTTTGCTGCCTGGCCAAAGGAAGTCAGCTGCAAGTTCAAGCAGAGGCAGGCGGACTGTGGCCAGGGCCAGGGCCTGGGCCTGGGCCCCAGCTCCAAAGAAGAGCCCCACCTCAACTCCATCCAGTGCTCCAGCCCAGGCTTACTGTTCTTGGGTAGAGCCACGCATCACATGTCAGAAGACTGCTCCTGCTGGGATGATGTTACAGTCTATTTTGAGGGTCACACTGGAGCATCTGTCAGCCTGGCCAGCCACACCCTCCATGTGTCATCACTAAGAGCCAGGGACACCCACAGGTCCACAAACTCTGCTTAAACAATCATTTCCCCTAGGGATCCTCAGCTTCAGGGCCTTATTGGCTTTCTAACGAGATCAACCCAGATGCCCTTATCTCCTGGCACCATTGGCAGGGCTCTGATGTCTCCTCACCCCACCAGACCCACTCCTGAGGTTCCTAGTATTGGTGACTCAGCAAAATGCAGCTGAAGCCCATCAATTTGTGCCAAGCTCCTAGCTGAAGCATAGCCCCTCCTTCTTCAGCTCTTTCTTACATTTAAGGAGTGCCCAGAATGCCTAGCACTCTGACTCCATGCCAGTTACCAACCAGACTCATTGTAGGTCCAACAGGTCTCACCTGCTAAGAAATTCCTGCTCATCCCTCAAAACCAAGCCCACATTCTGCCACCTCTTTCAGAGAACATTTCAGTCCACTCTCTGCTGAGTAGGCCACAAGTGCCCTGAGGACAAAGCTGGCCTATGCTGGCTTTACCTTTATTCTCTCTATACCCAGCATGGGCCTAGCACATAGTAGGTATGAATAAATACTCCTTGAACTCCCAGAATAAAACTTTATAACTAGACTAGATTAGTATGTTCTTCTACAAAAGGCATCATCAGAACAAAGCCTTTCTAGAAAATGACACCGATAACTGGGTTCAAACACCTTTTACAAATGTACTCAAATCTAGAGAAAAATAGGTTTATAGATTCAGTAAGTCAATCAAGCCCAGTAAAGAGCATGCCACATTTCTCTAGCCCCACTGAGCAGTAAACACTTTGTAGCTCTGTCCCCTAAGAACACTGTGATCCCCTAAGAATCCAACTAGAGGGGCGCCTGGTGGTGCAGTCGGTTAAGCGTCTGACTTCGGCCAGGTCACGATCTCGCGGTGAGTTCGAGCCCCGCGTCAGGCTCTGGGCTGATGGCTCGGAGCCTGGAGCCTGTTTCTGATTCTGTGTCTCCCTCTCTCTCTGCCCCTCCCCCGTTCATGCTCTGTCTCTCTCTGTCCCAAAAATAAATAAACGTTGAAAAAAAAAATTTTTTTTTTAATTAAAAAAAAGAATCCAACTAGACATTCCTTCACTCTACCCAGGGAATGGATTCAATGGGGAATGTCAGCAACAGCATGGACACCCATGTCTGGGATCAGGCAAGGGAATCTAACAAGTTAGGCTATTCCACTGCACACCCAAAGCAGTGCCACCAATGGCACCAATGTTTGGGTAGGCTGCCAAACATTCTAGGGATCAGGGCTCACTGACAAAACAGGTAAATTATCATCTGCTCCAGCCACTTTCCAGAGATGCTGTGAGGCTTGAACTAGATAATACAGGAAAGCTATACAACCGGTTAACACCTGAGTCATGGACCAAAGCCAGGTAAGAAGCACACCTCCGATATCAACAGGAAACAAAAAACAAGCTGATCACTTTGTCTTATAACTGCCCTTGGACTCCTCAAAACCACTCCTGGGCCATACCAATATCTGGCTACATCCTAACCATGAGAAGGCTTTCAGGGATTCCATAAAGAAGCCATGAAGAGACATTTACATACTTGCCATCTGACAGTGGTCAATTAACACAGGCCACTAACAGGGGCACCTGGGTGGCTCAGTCGGTTAGGCATCCAACTTCAGCTCAGGTCATGGTCTCAAAGTGTGTGAGTTCAGGCCCCACAACAGGCTCTGTGCTGACAGCTCAGAGCCTGAAGCCTGCTTCAGATTCTGTGTCTCCCTCTGTCTCTGCCCCTACCCCACTCACACTCAAGATCCATTTAACAACTGAAATTTGAAAAGCCACTTGAAGGAATCCAGGTCTCTACACGTAAACACTCCCCTTTTGAAAAACTGTTCTTTTCTCTCTAGCTCAGCTGTTATCATGATACAGACTACAGAGAAAACAAGTGATTTTCCTCCCTGCAGGTTTAAGAAATGCCCCTCAATTTCTGGCAATATGAGACTCCTGCCACTGCCATTTCAGTCTATACTAAAATTATTTTTGTAGTGTTTGTTTTGTTTTAAGAGATCATTCTCATTCACACTAGTGTTCAAACACATTATAGGTATATATGTGTTTTTATCAGATGGTGGAAAGGGAAAATGGAAACTTTAAGACCCTCCAATAGGATGTTTCCTATCAGTAAATCCACTAGATGGGAATAAAAGTGAAAAGATGCAACAGCTTGCCATGACCAGAATTTCAGAATCATAGAGTTATGGGGTTAAAGGCAGCTTAGACACTGGCCTAGCTCCCCACAGTATAGACAAGGAGATGGAAGCCCCACCATCTACCCATGACCACACAGCTGTCCCAGGAAAGGACGTTACAACTTCACTGAGGAAGCAGGCAATCCTCCCCCAGCACAGCCCGTTGGTTGGGCATTTTGCATGCACCATGAGAGGGGCAGTCCCTAAGAGAGAGGAAGTATTCTGAATGCTCAAGAACACACATTCAGGGTTGGCACGAAGGTCACTGGTGTAGTTGGCAAACTTCCCACATCAGATTTAAGGTCTGATGAGGAAAGCCTTTCCAAGACAGCTGAAATCATGTTCTTTTATAAGTTAAACACCTGCTTTGTCACAGTCAATGGTAAAAAAGGTTGACTAGAAGGAAGAAAAAAAGAAAACTGAAAAATCTCCCCTCTGATTTCCTGTGTCTGCTTAGATCACCCTAAAATGGGGAGGCTCCCTAATGCTGACTTTAATGAGGACCTTCCTAAAGCTGGTCCAACTGGTGTTCAAATCCCTAGACTGAAAAACAAGTTTATGAGCAGCAAGGTCACCTGATTCTGACCATGTGCGTGATGTTTACCCTGAGATGACAGGCCAGTGACTGCCACAGCTGTGATGAATGCTGTGAAGACTCTACTATCCCTTTGAAGCCTATAAGGGCCTCTACATGACTAAATGCCATAAAAAGGAACCCTGAATACAGCAAGAATGTGAAAGGAGGGAAGTCACAAACGCCATATAGCAGTAGGGGAAATCCTATTCTGGACAATGAATTGTTAATGTAAACTTGTTACTTGTTTCCCTGACCTGTGAGGTATTTCATTACATCATCACTGAAGAGAAGTCCCCTCCTCTACCCCCAATGCTTGCTACCAAGGGCTTCTGCTTACACCAGGCCATGCTCACAGTCAGGAAACAGAGGCAGCCCACTATTCAACCCTCTGCAGCCCAGACCCGTGAGGCTCAGCAGCTCACATCAGTCACAAGTGTCGGCCAGGAGTCATCAAACTCTGACCACAGGAAACAGGTCAGTGCTGGGGGAAAAAGGTGGTAAGAAGGGGCTTACCCATCTCTTCCTTTGCTGACAATCTTCACCTCAAAGTAATAAATGCCACAGGCAGCAGGTATGGGGTGGGTGGCACGCACTGAGGCAGCATCTTTGTGATTTTTGCCATGACCTAATAGGAGAGAGCAAGGAAGAAATTTCAGAAGAAATGTAAATAGAAACCTCATTCTTTACTGCTCCATGGCAACGAAGGGGTGAACCCTTCGTGGCTAGAGGAAGCCCTTACATTGTTCAAGGAACAACTAAACAACAACTGAGCAAACACATAAACCTCCCACCTTTGGCTCACCTCCTCCTGTGAACAGCAGCCCTGCCAGAGACACTGTCTCCCATACAAACTAAACGAGGGTACGGGCAATATGCATACATGTGAGAGATTTCCAAGTGCTGCTGGCGGTCTCTCCAGAATACAGGCAGTCCACCTGGGAGAGGAGGGGAGGTGGAGGAGCTCTGGAAGACCACCCCCCTCAACTTTAGTAGAAAACTCCAAGACCTGTCTGTGATGTCTGGCAGATGAGCAAACCCACAGGCTTCTGGCTAATGGAGGGGATGTGACCACCCCTTTCTTCAGACACTCCAAAAACTAAGCCGTGGTGAAGGGTTCAGCTGGAGTTGGGAGCTATCCCAGGACAAGCAGGAAGGCCCCCAGGGGTGGAAGCTCCAGCCCAGCACTGGGTATGGACACCTGTTGCAGTTCTCTTGACATTAGGTGTCTCAGAGAAGAGCAGTCTAGGCAGTCGACCCTCGGCCTGGTCAGCCTCAACACCCTGGACACCCCACAGGGGCTAAGGCCTAACCCGAAGCACCCAGGCCCGGGAAGGGACGTGATGGGGCAGGGGCGGGCAGCATCGCCACTCCACAGATGCTCTGGCCTTCCGCCCGACCCCAGCGGGCCAAACAGGCCGATACCTTTGTAGTGGACGCGGAGGTTGCCCTGGGAGAGGCCGATGTAGTTGTACTTGTCCTTGGGGCTCCAGGAGCGCGGCAGCGGCGTCTCGTGCTGGTTGACCGCGGGGTACAGGCGCTGCAGGCGCCGACTCAGCTCCTGCTCCCCTGGGGACGGCAGCCCGCCCCCAGCGCCCCCGCCAGAGGAATCTCCAGCCTGCGGGCTCCCAGCTCCCGGGTCCGCCGTCGCCGCCGCCATCTTGGAGGGAGCTGCTATTGTGTCACTGGGGGCGGGGAGGAGCGGGACGAGATCCTCCCCGCTCAGCCAATGGCCCGCGAGCCTACTGAGGTCGCAGGGAAACCGAGTCCGAGTCCGGCATCTCTCTTTGGACACTGCCACGCCTCGCCACATTTCGGACTCCATATCCCACAATGCAGAGCTCTCCAGAGGCGGGCCAACCCGGGATCGTAAAGAACTTAGGGAGATGTAGTACAAATCTGCTCAGTCATAAGCCTGCCCGGCAGAGACTTCAAGAAACCAAAAACTACAATTCCCGCTGGCAACGTAGCTCCAGGCCCTCAGTTTCCCTCTCTCCCCCACTGCCTCTGTTTATCCCCTCGCCTCAGTTGTGATAGCTAGGGTCAAGTCCTCTGTAGTGATTGACTGAGGGAACCCTGCTCCCGGGTCCGAGTCCACCTTTGCTAACTGGCTTTCCTCCTAGCCTTCGGCCTTGGGGTGAGGGGGCGTGGCACAATCTTGACACCGCCCCCGCCTCTGGGATGCTGGGGCCTGGTCGCCATAGCGACCGGCTGTACACTACCACAACTTCACAGGCAGTGGATGCTGGCTGTCCGGCTGCCCGAGGGTCATGGCCTCCCCGAAGCCGCGGTGCTCCAGCTTCGCGACCACTTCGAGGTAGGCGCTGGCCAGACTGAGGGCGGAGAGGAGGGTTTGGAGAACTTGCAGAAAGAGAAAAGCTTCTGTCCATTGATTCGGGGCTTCAGCCCCACCGGATCGCTGGGGCAGAAACAGAATGTGGACATTACGTGCTAGCAAAAGAGCTGGCGCACTTTAACATTAGTAAGAGCCAGCCTCTTTATATTGAGTGTATATGATGTGCCAAGTGCTTTATATATAACATATTTAACACACAACTCTATGAAGTAGTAATATCTTCTGGATACTTCTATTACAAATAGAAGTCTGGAGAAATCATGTGTTTTACACGTTTACAAGTGGAGGAGCTAGGATTTGAACCCAGCCATGTGAGACTTCTTAGCTCTTAGCCACAGAGATAAATGGCCTCTTCACCCATTGGTTTATGGCAAAGATGCTTATCGAATTGCTGTCTATTCAGAGGTTGCACCCTCTGGGCATTGCAAAATTTGACAAGTTCTATTATCCAGGAAAGACACAAAATGTACATAATAAGACAAAATTTGGGGATAAATGTCTTTCTAGCTTTGGGAACCCAAGAAGTCTCTTAAGTTCTGGGCTTCTGCTTCTGTATCTCAAACGTGGGGATGTTACAGCCCACCTCACAAACATTGCCGGGAAAATTTAGGCAGAATATGCGAAGCTCTCATCACAGTTCTTGCATATACTAAACATTCGGTTGTTTAATGAACGTAGTTTCTCCCTTCTACTCATTTCCAACGCAAAAACTTGATCTCACCTAAACTCTAATCCTTCAGGGTTTGCTACCTCAACAGAGAAAGCCTACAAAAGTCAGGAAATTGTTTGCCAATTGATTATTTTATCCAGAGTTAGAATGAAACTATAAGAACCAGGCAGCAGGCTTGAGAAAGAGTGTTGTTACCCAGCACAGGAATGATTTAGGAAACTGCAGTCATGTTTGAAAGGGATATGAAATGGATTCAGAAGGAGAATCCCCATCTATTTTAAGAAGGAAGCATAGGGGGTCACCTGGGTGGCTCAGTTGGTTAAGACACCAACTTCAGCTCGGGTCATGATCTCGCGGTTTGTGAGTTCGAGCCCCGCATGGGGCTCTGTGCCAGCAGCTCGGATTCTGTGTCTCCCTCCCTCTCTCTGTGCCCCTCCCCCACTCAAGCTTTGTTTCTCCCTCTCTCTCTCAAAAATAAACATTAAAGAGAAGAAGAAGAAGAAGAAGAAGAAGAAGAAGAAGAAGAAGAAGAAGAAGAAGAAAGCATAGGGGTGCCTGGGTGGCTCAGTTGCTTCAGCATCTGACTCTGGCTCAGGTCATGATCTTGCAGTTTGTGAGTTCAAGCCCAGCACTGTTCAAGCTGACAGTGCAGAGCCTGCTTCAGATCCTCTGTCCTCCTTTTTCTCTGCCCCTCCCCGGCTTGAATTTTCTCCCCCAAAATAAATAAACTGTAAAAAAAAAGTATCAAAAGGAAGAAAGGAAGGAAGAGAAGAGAAGAAATATAGGGGCAGTCCCCTACTGGCTCAGTCAGTAGAGCATGTGACTATTTTTTTTTAATGTTTATTTTTGAGAGATGGAGAGAGTGCACAAATGCAAAAACCCTTCCTTTTTTTTTTTAATTTTTTTTTAAATTTTTTTTTCAACATTTATTTATTTTTGGGACAGAGAGAGACAGAGCATGAACGGGGGAGGGGCAGAGAGAGAGGGAGACACAGAATCGGAAACAGGCTCCAGGCTCTGAGCCATCAGCCCAGAGCCTGACGCGGGGCTCGAACTCACGGACCGCGAGATCGTGACCTGGCTGAAGTCGGACGCTTAACCGACTGCGCCACCCAGGCACCCCAAAACCCTTCCTTTTCTATAGCTGCTGTTTATTTGATATGGTTTGTTCATACTTGTCCCATTGAGAGATAAGAGAGGACTAGCGTTTGGGGTGTCACCGCTCTATGGAGTAGGACTAAGGAACCAAGTCCTTAGGTTCCCAACTAGATTCACATTTACTGCTCTCAACTTCTCTGGAATACAGGTAGTCCCAGTCTCACTTTTATAAACAAAGACACTGAGGTTCAGAGAGGTTAAACAATATGCCCAAGGTCATTGGCTAGCAAAGGGAACGAAGACACAGGTCTGTCTGGCAGCATAAATGACCCCCACCCACTGCCACCATGGATTTCTGGAATTACTTTTCCCTTTTCTTCACCTGGATCTGCCTTCCCAGGGCAGCCCTCCTTGTTGATCCCCAAATGCCTTCCTAGCTTGAGGAAGAATGGCACTCCCTCCCAAGAGGTCTAGGAGCTAAAGACCTTCTTAGAATCAACTTTTCTCCCATCTTACTGTCATCATTAACATCTGCACAGCTCCTTGCAGCTTACAGGCTGCTTTTGCATATCTCTTTTCCTCGTATTAAACTTCACAACAACTTTATAAGATAGGAAAAGCAAGAATTGTCTCCATTTCCTTATGAGCATACTAGGCTGAGAGAGGTCAAATGGCTTGCCTGGGGGTTCCTGTTGGAACCCCAAATGTCAACCCCCAGGCCTTTCAGCCAGTAAGTGCAGGATGGGGACTCACACACCAGCTCTTGGACCTCAGACCTTGTGCTTCTTGTCCTAACACCTGTCTTTGGTATCACACCCCCAGAATGTGCCAGTCACAAACATGAAACTCCTCTCAACACTGAATGAAAGTTTAAGTCCACAGAGTTCTCTGGGCTCATGAAGCGCACTCATGAAGGTATCCTGTCACTGTAGGGATTGATGAGATCCTCAGCATGAGAAGGTTTCCAGGAATGTAGGAAAATGTTTTGGGCCCATGGCCAGGAACTTATTGGCAACATCTCTGGAAATCTATAGGCACTGCTGGGAAGACCCAGAGCCTAGCTCTGCAGGGAAAAGAAGCCATGTCCTGTTGATCTGGGAAGGTTGGAGGTGCTCTCCCCACTCAGAGCTCTGTCATCTACCACTGTCTTCCCCTTCTCTGTGCAGAACACACATACAGCCTTCAGGAGTGACCGTAGATGACTCCTACCTCACAGAAACCAAGAGCTCCCAGAACCGAAAGTTTTCCCAGAGACAGAAGACACTGGTTAGTGGCAATGTCTTGCTGGAAACCCAAATGTCAGCTCCCAGACCCTAGCTGCCGCCCTCTCTGCAACCCAAAAGCACCACCCACCTGAAACATGCCCCCCCGCCCCCCGCCCCAGAAGCCAGCAGCTTCTCTCCAGTCAGGGAAGCGTGGCTTACAGTGGCCAGACCCATCAGGCTTTAGGGTAGAGGTGTGCAAACTGGTTGCACCTCATCTGAAAAGCCTTTCCAGACCTCCCCTGGCAGAGAGAGACTCAGCTCCTTCCCGACACCCTTCCCCTGCAGCTCAATGTTCTGGAGTGGACCTCATTTTTTCATTCAGCCTGCCATATGCCAGGCACTGTGCTAGATGCTGGGATGGTCACACCAGATCTACCAAGGTCCTTCAGGGCTGTGACTATATGTTTTTTTGTTTTTTTTTTGTTTTTGTTTTTTTTCTGTATGGCCCTGATCCCTGATAGGGTACTTGAGTGTTTGGCATATGTTGAGAGCTCCATAATGTTGTGAGTAAATGTGTGAAGGCAGGAGTAAAAAGATGTTATTACCCCCTTGTGTTGCTGGCTCTGGGTTGGCGGCAAGAGACTCTACTAGCCTCAGGAAACTGCCCTTCCACCATTCCTGTTCTTTTAATTTTTTTATATAAAAATGAATTCTGTCTTGGGGCACCTGGCTGGCTCAGTCCGTAGAGTGTGAGACTCTTGATCTCTGGGTTTTGAGTTCAATTCCCACGTTGGGCGTACAGCTTACTTTAAAAAAAAAAAAAAATGAATGCTGTCTTATTAAGTACTTTTGAACTTTTGTTGATACAGTCATAGGGTTGTAATTATTTAATTAGCAAACCGACTTTAAAAAAAACACACACACACAGTTTAGCAAACTTATAACTCCAGTTCACAGTGGAGCATTATGGGCTGTGTGGTGGTTTTCTTTGTGTGTGTCCCCTATGGGGAATTTAAGGACACATGGGACCCACACTTTATGAAGCTGGAGATTCCCAACGTGGGGACCCAGACTCCAGAGAGGGAAAGGGAATCAGTGTGGACTCTTCGCAGAGACCAAGCGCAGCCAGGGCCTCGGAAGACCGATAATGGGGCACATGATCCCCCCTCCACCCAGCTGCCATCCTACCGTGTACCGGGGCCTAAGCACTTTCTTCCTGCGAGGGCACCACCATTCTTAACCACCAGAGGGCATTACTCCCTCACGCCGCCCCCTGGCCACGCCCCTTCCCATTTTCACCCTCAGGAGGAAGCAGAGAGGTAGGAGCCCCAGTGAAACATTTGCAC